GCCGCTGTAGGAGAGACGTTTTAAAGATGATTTAAATTTCAAATACTGGAAAGGTTTTTTGCATTTAGCGACCTCGGCAATATGTTATTTACGCCGGCATCAGTATCACGCGTTCAACCCTTTCTACCTACTTCCCAGAACAAGCACCTAAATTACCTACTAAAAAAAGTTCTTTATTAGCAATTCCATTACAATTATAAAAAGGGAAAATGCTTCCGGCCCCCAAAACCTAAGGAAATATACTTCTCTCCCTTAAGACTTTGTCAACAGATGTTTTGCCTCTAAAAATAAAGATTTTGTTCTCTGAGCCCCAAAAACACAAGACTCAATAGATTAAAATATGTGAAGACCATAATACCTCTTTCTATCTTTATCATGATGTTACTGATAGTTAAAATGATTGATGGGTATTGTTATTTTATTATTTTTGTTTTTTATGATTTTTGTTCTTAATGAGAGGAAGTAACTGTTTTGTTTGTATTGGGAGATTTTTAAGGTTACGGGTTTAATTGTTAATGTTACGGATTAATTGTTAAGGTTATGGATTCCTTCTCTCTCTATATATCATGATGTTAATGTGATGATAGTTAAAATGATTGATGGACATTGTTATTTTATTATTTTTGTTTTTTATTATTTTCGTTGTTTTTGTTTGTATTGGGAGATTGTTAATGTTACGGGTTTAATTGTTAAGGTTACGGGTCAATTGTTAAGGCTATGGATCCATTCTCTCTCTCTCTCTCTCTCTCTCTCTCTCTCTCTCTCTCTCTCTCTCTCTCTCTTTATCATGATGTTAGTGTGATGACAGTTAAAATAATTAATGGGGATTGTTATTTTATTATTTTTGTTTTTTATTATTTTTGTCGTTGATGAGGAAACTAATTGTTTTTATTTGTATTGGGAGATTGTTAATATTACGGGTTTAATTGTTAAGATTACGGGTTTAATTTTAATTGTTAAGTTTGGGAGTTTGGACAAAAGGTTAGGGGTTCAAACCTCTAAAGCCACAATATTTTTAAAGTATTCGTTGTTAAGGATAATGATTGGTTGTAAAGTAGGGTTGAGCATGGTTCGGTTCGGGTCGGTTTTTTTTAAATTTTGAACAACCGAACCAAACCTCCTGTTAGTCAGAACCGAACCGAACTGCTCCATGTCGGTTCGGTGCGGTTTGGTTCAGTTTGTTTAGTTCTTACTTTCAAATATTATAAAAACTTAAACACACTTAATTATTCACTATACAGCACAGAAATGATCACAGCGAATACTGTCACAAGCTTATCAAACTTAGATTCAGTTATCTTGCTTACAAGAAAATGGATTATTTTGCATCATTAGAGCTTGGAGGTGATTAATTTGTTATAAAATGGAATCAAGACAGGGTAACAAACCATGACTAATCTGATGAGCAATCTCATCAGCTGTTTCGATCCATGATCCTTTCTCTCCCCCAACATCCTCCATCGTCGTCGCCTTCGGCTTGCATCCGGTTCTCTGCCTCCCAGCAACAAAGAGGTGATGGGATCCTCCTCTGCCAGCCTCAGTGTTATCTAAAGAAACAAACTTTGACAGCAAGAACGCACTCAAATCCAGCGAATCTGGAGGGTAAAACGATTTTGAAACCAAAGAGGGAAAGAACAAAAGCTGGCTTACATCTGATCCCATCACAAGAGGAGGTTAATATACTGAAAGATTTGAGAAGGTTTAAGGACATGGGCATGAGACATCTCGCCGCCAGAGAATCGTCGGAGTTGGAGGCTTGGAGCGGTGGTGGCTGAAGGCTGAGGTTGGAGATAGGTTTAGGTTGGAGAGGAGTTGGGATTTTATAGAAATGAAGAACGGGTCGGGTAAATGAAGAATGGGCATTATGGTATGGGTTAGTAAGGGATATAAGCGGTCGCTTCGAGCGGTTCGGGTTGAAAATTTTTCAACCCGACCCGAATCGACTTATAACTAAAACCGAACCGAACCGTTAAATTTTGGTTGGTTCGGTCGGTTTTTTCGGTTTGGACCGAACCGTGCTCACCCCTATTGTAAAGGTTATGCATTGGTTGTGAAGGTTACGGGTTGGTTGTTAAGGTTACAGGTTGATTGTTAAGGTTATGAGTTTGTTATGTAGGTTACGAGTTTGTTGTTAAGGATATGCGTTGGTTATGAATGTTACGCTTTGGTTGTGAAGTTAACCTACACAACAAACCTGTAACCTTAATAATTAAACTCATAACCTTAACAATTAAACATGTAACCTTAATAATCTCCTAATACAAATAAAAACAATTAGTTTCCCCATCAACAACGAAAATAATAAAAAACAAAAATAATAAAATAACAATCTTCATCAATCATTTTAACTATCATCACAGTAACATCATGATAAATATAGATAGAGAGAGAGAGAAGAGATCCATAACCTTAACAATTAACCCATAACCTTAACAATTAAACTCGTAACCTTAACAATTGACCCGTAACCTTAACAATTAAACTTGTAAGCTTAACAATTAAACCCATAACCTTAACAATCTTCCAATACAAACAAAAACAATTAGTTTCCTCATCAACAACGAAAATTATAAAAAACAAAAATAATAAAATAACAATCTCCATCAATCATTTTAACTATCATCACAATAACATCATGATAAAGAGAGAGAGAGAGAGAGAGAGAGAGAGAGAGAGAGAAATGATCCATAACCTTAACAATTAACCTGTAACCTTAACAATTAAACCCGTAACCTTAACAATCAAACTTGTAATCTTAACAATCTCCCAATACAAACAAAAATAATTAGTTTCCCCATTAACAACTGAAATAATAAAAAACAAAAATAATAAAATAATAATCCCCATCAATTATTTCAACTATCATCACAGTAACATCATGATAAAGAGAGAGAGAGAGAGAATGGATCCATAACCTTAACAATTAAACCCGTAATCTTAACAATTAAACCCGTAACATTAACAATCTCCTAATACAAATAAAAACAATTAGTTTCCCCATCAACAACTAAAATAATAAAATAACAATCCACATCAATAATTTCAACTATTATCACAGTAACATCGTGATAAAGAGAGAGAGAGAGAGAGAGAGAGAGAGAGAGAGAGAGAGAGAGAGAGAAAAGGGATCCATAACCTTAACAATTGACCTGTAACATTAACAATTAAACCCGTAACCTTAACAATTAAACCCGTAACCTTAAAAATCTCCCAATACAAACAAAAACAATGAAAATAATAAAAACAAAAATAATAAAATAACAATGCCCATCAATCATTTTAACTATCAGTAACATTATCATAGAAAGAGAAAATGGTATTATGGTCTTCACATATTTTAATTTTTTGGGTTTTGTGTTTCGGAAGCTTAGAGAATAAAAACTTTAATTTTGCAGGTAAAGCACCCGTTGACAAAGTCTTGGGGGGAGGGGGGGCACGTTTTCTTAGATTTTGGGGGCACCCCCTCTCTCACTTGCTATAGTGCATCGGGCCCACATAAGATTTTAAAATTTTAAAATCTCATGTGGGACCCGATGCACTATAACAAATGAGAGAGTGTGTGTGGTTAGAGTTGTGATTGGGGGTGTGCCCCTATCATTTTTCTTATCCTTAACTCTTACTAAAATAATCCTTCATTCTTTAACAAATTGTAAGGAGTATAATCTCATTCGTTCCCTTTGCATTACCCCAACAGTTTTTTTATATTTTTTAAAGAGTTAGTATGGATAAATAGGAGCTCCCATCAAGTTAGGGGGTGTTTGTTTCAAATCCTATAATTTTAGGATATGGATTTCACCATGGGATTTGAAATCCATAGTTTCAAATCCTATAATTTTAGGATATGGATTTCACCATGGGATTTGAAATCCATAGGTAATTTGTTATGAGTTGGGATTCCTAAAACTTTGTTTGTTTCAACAATATTTTAGGATTTGAAATACTATAATTTGTAATATTTTTGTTTGTTTTAAATTTTTTAGAATTTAAAATCCTTAATTTGTCTAACACTTTTGAAATCCACCCCACATCCCACCCAAAAAAGAGGATTTCACAAATTCTTAAATATAATACTTTTTTATTATTTGGGGATTTGATATTTTAAAATTTGTTTTAAAACAAATAAGTTTTATGGAATTCTAAAACCCAAAAAACCCACTTTTTAATCCTAGAATTTGAAATCCCACCCAAATGCCAAAATTTTTTTGAAACAAACACCCCCTTAATCTGTCACATTGCATGTACAATAATGTGTCAGTTAACACGTTGGCAAAAGAAGAATACAGGGGCTTATTTGAAAAGATCCCAAAGTTCAAATCCAAAACAAGAAGAAAGGTGCGGTGAGCTCACCGAAGGCGGTGCGCGTAACCTGTCACCTGACAGAGAGCGTGCCGCGGCGTGGTTGTGTGGGGATTGTTGGGTGGTGTATAACATCATACTAACGTTACCTTTTCCCCCAAGATTTGGAAATCAAGTTTTCCTTAAAAAATGAAAGCAAAAGCACCCACTAACACACCCTGGTTTACATGGTGGGACCCCCGCACATGGGGGTTTACGAAACACTGTTCAATGGCTGATATGAGATATGATTTTTTTTCCCCTGCTGGAGTCGCGTGTTGTTACTTTCTCTTGTCGGCTAATAACAAGTTTTCTGCTGGTTTGTTGGTAGATTTTACCGCTCTTTTTAGTCTGACAAGAAGTAGTTTGGGTCACCTATTTATAGAAACTTTTTGATAAAATACTTGATAATAGTATTATTGTAAATAACAATTTTTTGTAGATTCTTATAAATTGTGTTTAGTTTCAAATTTTTTTATAAAACTAACTTTCATAAAGTAAAGAAAAGCATAATTTTTATAAAAATTAACTTCCTCTCCAAATTGTTGAAAATTGCAAGGAAACCTGATATTTATGTTTAAATAATAATAAAGTACATCTGTACCACTTTTGCATAAAATTTAAAATTGT